CCACTTAGGCCGAGACAACAAAAAAACAGAAAGGCTAACTCTCGAGGCTTGGTTCTCCGCTGCCCACTCTATCAACAGGCATCTGGACCTTCCTGCAGCTTACAAAGTCCTACGTCATCATAATCGTAAAGCTCAAGAACAAACAACCACACCGGACTTAAGAACGCCGTACGGAGGTGGCCTGACGGTGAGTTTACTCGGTGAGGAAGAACAAGAACCGCCAGACCGACCGCCTGCCAAAGGTTCAATCAGCTCCCCTTGACGGAGTGGTGACTCACAAAGCACGCAGGCAAAGCGCCCGTCAACTATGTCCCGAGAGGCCGAGGCAGCGAGAGGAGGGAAAATCGATCAGCATGAGGCCGAGCAACACAACATGCCACTTAAAATTTCTGATCGATTAAGTGCGTTTTACGCTTTGACAATGGCGAGCCGACCAAGCTCTTTGAAACGTCAACATTTAAATAGACCTGTTCCGAAGAGCCTATCTTCTGCATCAAAGAATAAGAATGTCCGAGTTGGCAGACTGTCTTTTGTCTTCGACAGAATTGACTTGTGCCATACAGGGGACAGACGCAGACAGCAATTTCGGCGTCAGCACTGATCTCCCTATTCGCCTTAGCTTCCGTCCCGCCGGGGGGGGGGGGATGGGGGGCATGTAGCTTTGCGCTGCCCACTCCCTTCTCCCTATGATCGCAGGCTCAAGGCCTTGGGCCCACTGGAAGTCATTTTGTGTATCGTGCTGAGTGCAGGCATGCGCACAAATCCGCCCTCCTGAAGACTCACACAACATCCATCTTTCTTTACTCACCTGTCAGTGGCGAGACAAAATCAACACGACCGGGCAAATAGCCGCCGTCCACAGGTGCCGGCTCCCCATTCTTCACATTAGTAAGATCCGGCCAATCGTTGGAGAGCGCTCAGCGACAAGGTCACGGCTTCTGCTCGTCCTGTTGCGCCTTGAGGCCTGACCTTGAGCCCTCTCAGGCAGTACACATAGCAACAAGTGCGAGGACCTACGTAAATCCGGCTTCTTTAGTCGTTGCTCGTTTTTCGGATTACCTGGGATCCGATCTTCTAGCACTAAGCCACACGCCCTTCTACTGAACCCGGGGGCCCGTTGTTCTGCCAGTCGCGATCGCGAACATTGCCTCTAACACCTTGTATCTTTCGTCACTGCAATCGGACAGGGGTGGTCCCAGACGCGTGCGGTAGCCAAACTATCGCCTTTAGTTCAATACTCAGGGGTGTTTACTTTGCATCCGCGTTTGTGGAGGGGGCGAGACGTGACGTGGAATGCCTGCCTAAAACCAGACTGGTTGATGCGGCTGTCTGAGGTCTTATCCCTGTCGCCGTGAGTTCTGTTTTGGTGCCTACTTTGTCTTTCTTGCGCTGTCCTTTGTAGGCAGCTCCAGGCCAGTCGGATGCTGGACCACCTCACGACACACCTTGTGGAGATGCACTCAGAACCCAGCAGAGCCTACGCCGACTCAGGTCGCCTCGGCACGACCGCCGCAGCTGCAGTGGAGAAGCTGCAGTTTTTACGCACCCAACTGGACCGCTTGGTGGCTCAGTAGCTCACTTCCCCTTCTTGCCTCCCCCCTCCCCCCCGCCCACCGAGATTTTGCCCTTGTCGGCTTGTATTTACCTCCTTGAATGTGAGCTTAACGACGAATGTGAGAGGAGAGGAAGGCCTGTTTGCGTGCATTTCTGCCAGCTTCGGCCATCGTGCTGATATTTTTTGAATGTCTACTGTACCTCACACAGTTTGGCCAGTCTGCCCGTGTTGTTTTTTTTACCTTTGTGTAAAGAAGCCTGAAATGATGAACCACCTGCCGTTGCTTCTCTTTTTACTCCAAAAGGGCGGGATAACTCTTTATGAATGTCCGGATCATCGACTTAATTTCTCTGTTGTCTTTATTTTGGACGGTAGAACCACTAGGATGGCGAACTCGTGGCTAACTGACGACTGGTATTAAGCCAGAAAAGGCCGTTCCAGTCTCCACTTTCCTTGTCGGTAGAACTCAGAACGGGGAGAACAGGCTGCAATGGTCCCCTGAATGTGGCCTTTGTGGCACCCCCACTCGCATGGGCTCCGAGCCAACCAATTCTTGTATCTGCGAAAACAGTTCCCTCTCGTGCGGGTCGGGCGTGCGTGGCACACGTTGACGGTCCGTTTAGCTTTCCCAACCGCTGGTCACGGTTTCCCCTGCGGTCATCGTTACTCAGTCTTGGCGCCGGACTTAGGGAGGGGGGCTGGCTGGCGGAGAGAGTGCGGTACATCCTGTGCAAATCTGGTTCACGCGAAGCTTCCATCCTGCGCCCGTCATGCCATGGGGGACGTAATCGTGCGCGATGATTGGGCTCTTCGGGACCTCACTCAGAGAAAGTTCTCCTACGGCTTTTTAGCTCATTAGGTTCAGTGTTGAAGTAAACACAGAGCCAGAAGAATAGTACTAATTTGCCATCCTAGATTTTATTTCGCTGGGTTACGCTTCGCGGGATATACGATTGCCCGCTTTGTCGCCTGGTGTCTTCGGTTACTGCTTGTCATTTTATGATCAGCTCTAGATTGGTGCGTCTTGCCAAAACAAAACACCCAACTCGGTGCAACGTGACTTACAGAATACCGCTAAGTAGAACAATGTGGGCAAGTTCTGGCAATCCCCGACATTACCCTCTGCGGTAATGATAAATCGAGAACCCGATATATCTGCTCCCGTAGGCTTTACAATGAGGCACTGCAGTGAATGGGCATTGTTTTCTAAGTACGTACACTTGGGGGGGCATTGTCCAGGAATTCTCATTTGGCCAGCATGTTGAGCAGTTAGCATAGCCTTCCTGCCAGATTTTGTTAAAGGGTGAAACTGAACTTCATGCATGTGCCGACTTGACGGATTTGGGGGAAATCTGTGTTAATACTTCCTACAACTTCTAAAGCAGTTCTGCTCATTGGAAAATCCGATCATCTTGATCGAGATTTGTGTACAGTAGCGAATTACCTGTCTTGTGGTTCATGGAGCTTGATACGAGATATACCAGTATTCCATGGATGTTTTGGCAGATTTTGAATAATTCATATTGATCCAACTGTGAAAAACTCGGCGCCTCGGTGGGATCCGAACCCACGCCGTAAGAGCAGGCTTTAGTACAGCCAACACTCTAACCACTTGAGCTATGAGACCTCGCTGGACGACGGATACGAAAATTTGTCAACATATTCATGTGTAAATCCGACTAGGCCGAATCGCACCGGTCCCGAACTTTGGCCAGCCGCCTCTTCGCATCACTTGGGGCGACTGTCCGGCACCAATTAATTAGGCCGTGGGGCCCATTTCCACGGCAGGAAACGTCGGCAGTCCTCTACCGGGTCTGGTGTAGTTACGGCAAAGCATCAGAGGAACTGCGAAATTACTCCGGACACGGATGGCCGAGAATTTGGCAGCAGCCCGCTCGACGGAACTTGGTCACACCTAGTCTGCTGAGGCCTAAATTATCACAGGAGGCTACAACTGCTTGAGTCGTTGTTCACAGGCCCGCAATCGATCAAAAACACAACGGCCTCCCGTCTTCGTATTCAGCGTTGAGGCTCTGCATGGTCAAAACTATTTGCCAGGGTGAGAGGGACCTTGCGACCAACATTTAAATTAACAGCGGGTCAAACTGCCGAGTCATTATCACACCAAAAAATGGCCATTACGGCAATTAACGACTTGGGTGCTGGCGGTCAAGCCCTCATCGCATCAAGGGGACAACCACTAGCGATGACCACGAGAGCTGCTAATGGCATGGCAGCTGCACTTATTATGTCTTTCTTGTCTTTATCTGTTTCTGTCTCCGATGATGGGTCCGGGCGAGAATCCGAAACGTCAGGCCATTAAACCTCTTATTACTGCGATCTCATCTTCTTTCTCTGGTGGTCTAGAATACCAGAGTGGGCTGGTGACATTGAAGAAACAGAAGGGGTTCACTTTAGGGAGACAACTGGGATGGTGATGCCGACGTGATGGAATTTTCATGTTTCAGACGAGTTTTCACATTTATTCCAGAAGGCGGTTTTCGAGAAACCAAGTGTGCGGATCAAAGAGACTTAAGTGAACTGGGACAACGATTCAACGAATTAATCACTAGGCAAAGGCTCATGGGAATCCCAAAGGAGGTAGACTTTTTCGCAGAACCACTTTCTATACAAATCGATTATTCAGGTTAGAAAAGATAAGAGATCCGAGGCGACTGTCTGAGAAAAATAAAGTGTAATTCCCTTGATCAGATGAACACTTCATTTTAGAAATAACCGTTACCGATGCGGGCCCAGTGTTTTATATTTTCATGCAATATATTATTCAAGTAACGTCTCTCATTTTCAGTATTTAGTGTGTTTTTCTTTTTCTGCCACTAAATGTCTGAGATTTCCGGTCGAGAGACAAATTTCCGGATCATTTCTAGTGTTCAGCTTCACCCATTTGAGGGCAAATGCCTATAACTGCCTCTTGCACCCTCGTTGCAGACAAAGCGTTAAGCATACAGAGACTTGACAAGGTCAACAGCCAAAGCTAAGTCAGCTTAGTGGTTGCATTTCCCCTTCCTCTGCTTCGATTAAAATTGCAAGGATACTAAGACCTTAAATTGGGCGGCTCTTTAGAATCTGTTCTCTGTAAAAAATGATTACGCCGCACCCACCCTTGTTCAAAAGACAGCATTGACGCAAACTAAACCGCAAATGAGAGCAAAGGGCATGCGCGGTGGCAATAAAACCAAACAATTTGACTGCGTAATGAGTTAACAGAGGCAGAAACCCCCCCAAAACAGTTATTCGTCGTCGGGACAGGGAGAGAAAATGCTAGGAGGAGGGTTCTTAGAGGCCGTCATTACCGCATGCTATGTCCGTGGCCCAGTAGAATTGTACGCGTCCAATTTTGAATGAGTTCGTGCAGTTGGAAAGATGAATAACAGTAGACTCGGGTCTTTGGGGGGGGAGGGGGGTAGGTTCTGATAGTTGGGGTCTATTCGGAGTAGAACTTTAGAACGTTGGCTCGTAGAAGTCGTTGCTTCTCTGTAAAGAACAACAGACACAATGGTCATAGTAGAAAACCGCAAGGGACCGTGGATGTTTGAGCAAGTGTGTGGGTCAATTTCGCATGAGCTTTAGGATTGATAGAGCATACAATGATAAACTTCATTGAGCATGCAGACCATGTCGAGTTCCCGTGCCCAAATGGCAACGACTCGTCCTACTAATATTAGATTCCAGACTAATTTACGCGGTTGAGATAAGTGTGATGCCGGGTGTAAAGAATTTGTGAAGAAGCTTTCACAGTCATTAGTCAGCAACGTTTGGACGTTTTACCAGCACTGCAGCTTCAAACAGAATCCGCCTTGGCAGCCTGCGTTAAGAACGAGTTCGAGCAGTGTGAAGACGTGAATAGCCGTCAGTGCCTGCTGTTGGTGGGATGACAGGAATGAAGTAGAACATGGTCATCCTGGTGTCCTCACCTTCGTCATTAACGCTTATAGACTTCGGCTGGCAAACTCGAGTGTTTGTGAGTGATAATTTAGTAGCCTGGCCGGCTCACCAGTGTCAAGGTCGGGCAGAAAATAAAATGATTTACCGAGTCATTTGGTCTAGAGCTGGTCGATGTTCTTCTTCTTTAATTGTCCTGGACGTAAAATGCATACTTGAGGTGTGGCTTTCAGTTACCGATTCCATTAACAGGCGTACTGACCTTCCCCCCGCCTACAAAGTCCTGCGCCGTCCCCAGAAAACGGGTAAGACAAGACGGCCATATTAAACGGATCGATAAGGAGTTCACTTGGAGAGGAAGCAGTGAAGCCACCCCCATTGAGGCGTTCTAAATTGAGATGACAATTAATAGCACAAACAGTTATCTATCCCGTCAGCTATTCGCCAGAAGGCTGAGGCAGCGAAAAAAGAAAGTCGGTCAGCTCAAAACCAAATATCTCGGTAGGCGGCTTAAATTTCTATCCGATTCTGTGCATCTAAGACCCTGACATTTGTGGGAAATCAAGCTTTCCAAAATGTCAGTAATAAAATAAGTCTCATCCGGTGAACCATTTTTCCTTAAAGTTGGTTACTTATGACTGCATTCAGGGCAGTTAAAAGGAAGTCACTCTCCGCAGATTTATCGGGTGCTTGTGAATGCAAGATATATGCAAATAATGGTACCTTTTGACAGAGCTGCATCCTCAGCTTGCCTTCGAAGGAAATCCAAGCAGGCCTCTTTACTCAAGCCAAGGGAGTAGATACGCCAGGCAAATTTGCTTCAAGGAATTTAAAGGAACACAAGTTTTAGAAGCACAAGAGTAACGTTGGCATGCAAAAAATCCAAACAGACCGGAATAAAGTCCCCGCAACAATAGAGTGAAGGACCCAAATCAACTTTGACTGGCCTCAGGATCCTGTCATAGGGTAAAGACGGTAATAGGGGCTTTACGGGTGGAGAATACTGTCGGTAGATTAACTGATATAAAATAAGAAAAATACGCAACATATTTGTTTTCGTGCCGTTAAACTTTTAATGCACTCACATATAGATACGAAGGGTCAGCGCGATGATTAAAAGAATAAACCATGAATAAATTTTAAAGAATAAGACAATTTAAGTAAACCGCCGCTGGATAGTTTGCGGCAGGTCAGGAATCCAAAGAAAGTCCAACCAATGAGAACGAAGAAAAAAATGTGAGGCAACCAACCGCATTGGAAGATGGCGTATGGTCTTGCGATGTCGGTGAACACTAGACCAACGAAGCCTAACCATCTGGGTGCGCATATTGGAATTCAAAAAATGCAAGTAATAAGAAAGCCCGTTATTTTCTATGCAGGATAACTGAGGACGACTGTATAGACTTAAAAAATCTTAAGTAGTTAAACAAGGGGCACCTAAAATGAAGGGTCTGTGTGCAGCGGGTTTTCAATAAGTTATTTCTCCCCATATTGAAAGTCATCGGATACGGTAGTCAGAAAAATGGACAAGCTCATCTACAGCTTCAGATGAAAGTCGAAGACGTGGAGGTGATGAAGTATTGCCAGACAAGAGGACTATTGCCAACTGCGGTAACCTGCAAATACAGACCGCTAGTAAAACAACAAGTCAGGAGTCACACAGACGAATTTGTCTTCAGATGTGCTCTGTGCCGAGGGGAAATATCTTAGAACTAGCTCGATATTTGGAAAGAGCCGACTCGCATTCGGGACAGTCATGAGGAGATCACTGTCTTATTTAGAGGGAAACTATGGTGATGGAGTGTGAAAAAGACCCTGGCGTATCTCAAACAACAGCTGTTAGGTGGTTGTCTACTCTGTCGAAATGTATGCTCCGTAACCCTCACGAAGGAAATCAAACAGATGGGCGGAGCAGGGGTAGAAGTGCATGTTGCTGAAACTCTTATTAATAGTATCGTCTATGGTTCGGCCTAAATGCCATTGAACTGAAGGAAGCATGGGAAGTCTTCCTGTCTCCCATGGCTGAGACATATCCAGTATAATGGAAGATCTTCACTGTAGAAGTGGACAATTTTGTAAGTAATGTTCCTTGCATGAAGCCATTGAAAGCTGACCGCCTTGTAATACCTAAGATATTAGGACTGCAACAGAACGATCGTCTTCTCGTCTGTTTATCCTGAGTCAACGTCTGCGACGGACGACCGAAGCGATAAGATCTCTTCTCAACTCTCTGAGCTAAGGTCATGGGACGAAAGGGTAAACTGAATCGTGACGTCTGCACCGGTCGACCAAAGCGGTGTAATCGTTTCTCGACTCTCTGAGCTGAGCTAGAGTCAAGTAAATGCGGAATGCAAAGTAGTATCCACATTCGTCTCGATAGGGAACCAAAGTGTTACGATCGTTTCTCAACGGTCGTACACGAACGATTTCTGGGCTTTTTTGAATTTCGTCAGCTTACTGACTGGCGTGCTGCCCCACCTGCAAAACCCACATTAGCACCATTCCCGTATGACACGACCCAGAGCCTACCGACAATTAAGTGCGGTCCTACCGTTGACCACTTACTGCAGACAAGGAGACGGTCTCCCGGTAAGGAGTTTAATCGGGTGGTTTGCATAGGTCTCCAGTCAGCCTACCTGCGCAAGGAGATATAGGGGAACGTCAGCGTGGTTCCGACGATTTTAGTGTCGCTTTACCCTATGCGACAGTCTGACGGTTAGTGCGAAAGCGGATTAGTGACTGGCCCAAACCGATACCAGTTTGTTGGGTATTGTATTTACGCCATTCGCTTGCAAACTTCGAAGATGTCAGGGGAGATTTGAATAGTAGTTGTTGTAATTACCCCCATTCGATTAAATGCGAGCGGAACAGTTATAAATGGCAATTATCAGTTACACACGTGGCAGAATGGTAATGCAAATGACAAGGGGAGTGAGCATGGCTCGAGGGATGCCAGTGAATACGTCGAAAGCAAGTACGAAAAGGGACAGGACTTTCAGCACTCTCCGTACTTGAAGATTTGCCCTTTCGCAGATAAAGGTGATGGTGGCCCCAGGAGTGCAGTATTTATAGCACGTTGCTGCCGTGGGACCGTATGCGCACTACAATTACCAGTTCTCGCAATCACCGCAGGGGTCGTAATTGATGTGGTGGTGGCTTATCGGTCCGAGTCCGAGTCGTTAATCCATCTGCGAATGTCTCTGATGATGAATTCGATTGAGAATCCAAAACGTCAGGCAAATAAACTTCTTGTTCCAGTGATCGCATCTTCATCTTCTGAACTTTCAGCACTCTCCGTACTTGAGGATTTGTAGTTGCAGGCCCGAGGAATTGGTCGTTTACTAAGGGGTTTGGCTTACTTAGTGGATCAATACGAACAGATTTAGCGCGGTCCACCGCAGTGCCGGGCAGTTAACGAGATTCTGAATATCTCTCGAAGATGTACTAATATATTTAGTTGCTGCTCAAATTCACCAAATAGCGGGCGTAAGCCGGTTGAAAGTGCAACATCTCCTCTGAGAAGGTGCAGATTCTTACAAATGAACAACAGAATGGGTAAAAGAACGGCCTAGTTTCTAGCCGACAACATAACAGGTATCTAAATTAAAAATAAAATAATCGTATATGACATTAAGGTAGCAAAATCCAAAAAAACTCCTGTGCATTTGATCACCTTAACTGGCTGAACGCGAGACCGTCGTGAAGCTCCCTTTCCAATTCCAGGTCATTTTCGGTACCGCTAGAAAGACAAAAGAATGAAACAGTTTTTCAGAATGTCATATGCGATTAACGAAATCATGCCACGATATTAATAAAGGAGTTGCCTGTAAACCCCAAGTTTCTGCCAAAATAGCGTGCTAGCATACTTTTTTATAGAATACAACAGCGACGCCGCCTTTCTGACGCTGTGGCAATCTAGCCCTGCGATTGCCAGCACGACCACTCACTCACGCGCCTGACGTCCCCTTGTTGATCGATTATCTGGCACTGGCGTAGCGAGGGCTCAAGGCCAATTGACGTTGCGTCTTTCTCCGATTGGCTGAAGACGGACAATGCCCAGGTGCACACATGCGCCTCACGCTGGGGCTAAAAAACTCAACGGCCATCACTCGTCTGGTGAGAAGACCTGTTGTCGCTGCCTATTGATATGGGTGCACGCTCTCTCACCCCAGCCAAGATTATCCGCTCACACTTTCTGTTTTGGGAAACTGTACCTCAACAACGCTCTATTTTAGTTACGCCGACTAGTAATCGAGGGCCTTATGGTAACTCGGCACATAACATCATTCGGTGTTGTGCCCAACTTTGGACAGAAACTGTTACCTTCGAGCGTGGAGTCAGGACTTGGGCCTGCAATGCTACACATGCAGTTGACTTTCAGGGGAGACAAGCTGTAATATGTTTGGTGCGCAGTCAGTGGTCGATGGGCAAACTCTTTTTTCAGGTGTTTTGCCCAACTACAAAAAATGAATTTCGAAATTGTTAAGGCCGTATGCCGGCACCGAATGCATACCAGCCGGCTACTTACTGTTTATAGTTTGTCACAAAAAATGCTTCATTTAACAAGACCGCCAACACTGTTCGAAACAGACGGGATAACATTACCAATGTGGACAAGGGAGACTGGAATGACCATTTGTGGCCAGCCATTTCATCGGCCAGCCGAGATACATCGGGACGAGTGAATCCCAAGACATAAATCGACGAGCGCCTTCTATTATTCTTCAACATGGATGTTTCTGAAATACTAGTCTTTCGTAGAAAGCGCCAGTACAGTGCTACGTAACATGATCAATCCGATAGTTTCCACATAGAATGCGGCACAAGTAACTTTATGCTTCATTGACTAGCCTTCAGTTCTCGCACATCCCAACCATCGAATATTCACCTGCATTCAGTCGTTTCTAAATTAATTGGTTACTGACTCTAAGATATTTGCCCCTTGTTCAGATTTTTCAGCTCTCCGCTCTTAGAACAACCCTGCGTCTGTATCGATGGAAGACAAACCAGAGGTCTGCTTCATATTGCTTCCAGAGACTTAAATGGGGCAGGTAGGTGTGGCGGCACACCTGGCCGCAGGCTCCTGTCGCGCCAGTTACCTGAGTCCGATCCCGCCTCCGGTCTTCTTGACTTTATCTTGAGATCGGGGGTAGATGACTGGGGGGGGGGGAGGGCAGAATGCGAGAGATGCGGCGCAAGGCGCCGTCCACGTTAGTTTGATGTTTGCCCCATCCTCCCTGTTTTCCCCCGGTTGTTTACAATAACATGCCGCTGGGATGTTGTTCTGTGTCTGAAGCATCAGTTAAGCCAACCGCTTCGCATTCCTACCAAGAGGGTGGTGTATCATTATCCAGATGCATTTTAATGACAAACGCGAAGGAACTCACGTCGTTGCAGACACCTGAGTAGATCGTTCCTGTTGGAGGGCAATGAAGACGGCTGCATTCCAGAAGCGGGTAGACTGCCAGATCTGCTGTTCCCGAAGACCCGCGTACATGAAGGTCTGTGTCACTCGGCCGTTCGGAGCCACATCTGAGCAGGAAGGAAAAAAATGACCATTGTTCTAAATCGTGGCACTGGGATTTGAAAGATATGTAGAGTATTTGTTTCTGAGAGCGATGCATATACATTTGCATGTATATATTATTTCCAATCCCTGCTACCGACTACAGTTGACTCCCCTTTCAAGCCAGGACTGACAGGAGTGGTTGAGACGGTTTTGGGTGTTCGGCACGATTCGCCGTCGTTAGATTCTAAAAACTGGTAGGTAGGTAGATTGAGTTCCTCTGTTTTCCTTACGCTCCCGGCCGGACTCTACTAATCTTCGAAAAATGCTTGCCATACCCTAAACCAAGCACTTAACAGGTCCTAGTGTAGAAAATGTGGACAGGAGTCAGGTTGAATGACCACTGCCAGAGATTTTGTGAGCGTTGCATCCCTTCCAAGCACGGAGTCACAGCGGAATGGCTTTGAGCGGTCGAAAAGACAGCCTGCGGCGCTTCGACTGTTTTGGAGAATGGTGGGTGATAGAAAGTTGGTCACGGGTTCTTTACTGTTTAGTCATCGCGGAATTTCATCCATCTTAAGGTCTGGAAAAGATTGCTAAAACGTGGATTAATAAGTTTTTTGTCGAACGACTTCTAAAATTTAAGTCCATTAGAATAGACTATAGACAGTAGGTGGGCTAACTCGTGAAATGTCAACCGAATTTCCGAAATGTGTCATCGTTTCGAAAAGACGTATTAAGTGAGACTGTAAAACTAATCACCGTGCAGCCTTATGTCACAATAATTCAGTTAATCCAGGATGCCGGCTTTCCAACGAACTTCTTTCCAACTGCATGCAAAAACTATACTCTGTAAAAAATGACTAGTTAAGTAGCGTGCATTTTTCTCGTTGATTTTCGATGCCCCTAAAAATCCAACTATATTTCATGAAAAACATGCATAAAAGTCGTCATTCTTCCGTTCGTTCTGAAGAAAAGTACGTCTTCTTCCAATTTTATGCACAAAGAAAGGGGATGATTTGGTTTTAGAAAACATTCAATTCGCGAGCTCTTTTTGTACTATGAATGGCCGCTCATAAAACGTCATGCCTCTGCATTTACTAATGTGGCTTTTAAAACTAACAAAATCGTTCAACTCCACCGCTAAATTTTATGAATCCCATATGGTCTCCTCTTAATACAGTAGAGAAATGTGCGATTTTTTGTTCGCGGAAAATATACGGCTTGTAGTTTTGAAACCCTGAATGCAAGTATAACGGCAGGTCGGGTTCAAAATTATTCGGGAATTGGAAACTTTATTGAAAACCGAATTATACTCTTTCTTCGAGGATAAAATTGGAAGAAAACGTAATTTCCTACCGAATGAGTAGAAGAGTGAATATTTTAGTGCATGTTTTCCATGAAATATAATTGAATTTTTAAAGCCATCCAAGACCAAGGAGAAAAATCACCTTAATTAAGTGAACATTTTTGCACAGTATAGTTTTTCCATGCAGCTGGAAAGAGGTCCATTCGAAAGCCAGCATCCTGTAGTAATTCATTTATTATAGAATTATGTTGCAGGCTGACTAGTTGGAGAACCCTACTTAATTAATCTTTTTGGAACGAAAACGAATTTCGGAATTTCGATTGGCATGTCATTAGTTTAGGGCAAGGTGATACCATACTAACAGCACAGGTACTAGCCGAAAGCCCATCCAGGCGTGTTTCGCCGATATTCTGCCGTCAGATAGCGCCGCTGCGAGGGGTTCGGCTCGTAAGTTGGTCCCCCAGCATTCCCCGTCTGTTTTCTGGTAGATACTCTAATTCAAAAATTGTCTGCAAACTTCGGTAGATCAGTTTATTCAAGGTCTATGGGCACAGACCGAGAATTTTATGTATGAATCTTTGGGCCGAAGTCAATCAGCCACAACGGATAACCACGTCATATTACCATAACTGACCACAGATTCCGAAATGAACCTTAAATCCTCGTTTTCGCAAAGCGCCTTTAAAAACACCTCAAAGTGTGCAGTAAATACGGTATAGGTCTTGGCTCATGAAATGTTAGCCGAAAATCTTAAAGGTGTTTTCGTGAAGAAAAACTTGGTAGGATGTGTTGTAGTATTGAGTATCATATGACATCATCTCTAGACAGTTCGGTCACGCCAAGATGCGGGCCACGGTTCAACTGCCTGAAAAAACGGTACTGCATAAAATGACTACTATATTAGTGGGAGTGTCTTCCACTGACTTACAAACCAAACATATTTAGCGGAAAAGACGCACAACGAAACGTATTCATTTTTAACTCATTTGGTAGCAAATTGCGTCCTCTTTAAACTTTATATCTGCAAAGAAGGGGGTCTTTCGGTTTAACAAAGTTCTATGAATCTCAAATGAGGTCGTCTGAGCGCCGCAGAGAAACAAATAATTTTCCCTACACAACATGTAGTTCGGAAGCTCCCAGCCTAAATGTAAATGCATATCAGGTTCAAATTATTAGAAAACTGAACAAGTTTTTTGGTCAGATGTGGTTATTTAGTCGACATTAAGGTGAACAAACCCCTGCCGCCTGTAATACCGGACCGGTGGTAGTAGAGAGTTCTTACAGATAGGGCCGGGGAAGGCACAGGCGACGAGGTCGAGGAAGTGCATGCAAAAGAAAAGCTAATGGCGAATGGGCGGTTGCACTCTGAGTGGATGAGAAATAGTTGCCCTAACCCCTAATTCTAATTCCTAACTGTGTAACCTCTCACCACATCTCCTAAACTTAAAACCTACATAACATGTAGTTCGGAAGCTCCCAGCGTAAGTTTAAATGTATGTCCGGCTGAAAATTATTAATGACTTGGACAAGTTATAAAACATTACGTTGGCGTTTCTTTAGGTGCAAAATTTGAAAAAGTTGTTTTCTGCCTAATAAACCCAAAAGGATATTTTTGTGCATGTTCTTTATAAAATGCACTTGATATTATAAGTGTATTGTAACTCAATGCAAAAAGCATACTTTTTATGCGGTCGCTTTTCGAGGGGTGGTTTTTTGCAAGCGCCGAGGCAAAACTTTTTCGAAATCCGACATTCTGGTGTGACTAAAATACTTTGCAATCATGTTGCGAAGTAACTAATATCACGACTCCATTTTAGCCATCCATCCTAATTGAAGGTACATTTCAGAATTTTGGTAAACACTTGGTAAGATACGCTAAAGATGACAGCATTGCTTGGTTAGCACTTGTCCTTGGCCCATGAAATATTATTTTCAAAATATTTGCCTGTTAAACAAACGTTATTTTATGAGATCAAAGAGAAAGCATAAGGAGACGGGGATGAATATTTCCGGCATAGCAAGTATACCCGACGCGAAGAATAGCAACAGCTTAGGAAACCTCCGCAGACAAAAGAAAATTTTAAAGACGGATCTTGATGTCGCCAGCGTCTGTTTCTTCCTTGTAACATTTACTCATCTAATTTTTCCCATTTTTGGTATTTACGGGTTCCCTAGGATTCTGCGTACAAATAATGTTTTTTTAAAATAAAAGGCACTCTTTGAGAATGAAATTTGAAAAAGACGCTATTGGCCAAAAAATGTGTACGAAAAAGGATATTCTGTGCAGGTTTTCTAAAAAAATTTTTTAGGATAAGAGGATATCAAAAAAGCAGCACAGATACTAGCTCAAAACCCATGCACGCGTGTTTTGCCTATATCCTGCCGCTGCATGGCGCAACTGCGAGGAGTTCGGCTAGTCAGCGGGTTCCCCAGCGTTCTCCGTCTGTTTTCTGGTAGATACTCCAATTTAAAAAAGCGTTGCACTTTAACTTCCTCCTAAATTAACTGCGAACTCGGAGTAGATCAGCATATTCTAGGGTCTATAATCGCAGACCAAACTTCAGTGTATAAATACCTGGACCGAATTCCGTCAGCTTCAGCGGATAACCGCGTAATATTCATTAACTGCTGATGGTCTTCGACCCAGATATAAATACACCAAATTTCAATCTACGGCTATAGGTCCTAGAATATACTGATCGACTCCGATTAAGCAGTTAGTTTTTTGAGGAAATTAATAAGCAACAATTTCTGAAAAATATGCTGGATCTATAAAGACCTCAGAGGACGATGCATGAGTGCATGCCACTTAAGTCGTTTTTTTCGAATGCGGTTCTTGTTGGCATCCCGACAAACACGCCTTCAGAAGCCCGCACTTTGACGTGACTGAACTATCTTGGAATTGTGCTGGCTAATGATCAGCATTACAAGCCCATCTGAGTAATTCATTCTAACCGGGATCCTGTTTCTGAATTTCGGTTGACTTTTGATGACATATAGTACCTTCCGCAAATGCTTGCACCTGAAAAACGTTCGTGGAACGAATATCCTTTCTCACACTTAACTCCTGTGAAATGTCTTGGTTTAAACATATTTATCAGCTACGAATGATTGAGAATACGCGCGACCCAGGTTATTGAATAGAAGAAGATGGGAAGGCGATCGTTGGAACCGACTGTTTATTTATCCGACGTTTCGAACTCTCACGCGAGCACATCGTCAGGGAATGAAAAACTGTACAACTCATCGCATATTTAACTTGCCTCTGCCAGAGATGACCTCCAGCTGCGCTGCTGATTTGTTCACGTAGTGCGTGATAAGCGATTGGAAGGTCGATATGTCGATTGATCGAGTCCTCATTTGAGTGCTACTCTCCCTGCGGCAGGCGCGCAACTAGGTCGTCCGACTGACCCAATATTCTCACCTTCTCAAAGTCAAAGCCGTGCCCTGACGAGGAGGCGAGTTTATCCTTTCGTCTCAAAGCCAAAACATGCTCGTGCAATCTCGTACGAACCAGTTTGCCGGCCTCGTCGACATAACCAGTCTGACCACAGTTGTGGTCTATCCGGTAGATGACCCCCGATATCTCATTGATGGGAGTCGGGTCCTTAGGGTGCATAAGTTGCCGGCGGATTGTTGCTTCGGGTCTGCAGGCGACGCCAATCCCAAATTCGTTCACCGGTCTAGCGAATTCATCTGACACGCCAGATATGTACGGCACTGCGCGCCAGTATTGCGGCTTCGGCTGCCCCTTGGGTTTCCTTTCCGGACTTTCTGGTCTGCACTGCCCGACGAAATTCCCAGCGCAGTTGTTCACCGTGAAGAGTATCCACGGGAACTGGACCTCGGTCTTCTTGTCGGCTGGCTCGGTGCAATGAGTTTCAACACGCCAGTAGAGCGTTCTCAGACAGCTGAGATTGTGCGAAAGGGTGTGGTTGCTGAGAGAGCTTAGAATACGAAAGGTATTCGTCGTTTTCCTGCAAACCGTTGTTTTCAGTTCCCCAATCGCCTTTTCTGTGAACTAGTGTGTCGAGAGACGGCAACCGGCAATCATTTTCTTCTTCCATCGTGAACTGGATATCTGGGAAGCTGGAGTTCAGATGTTACGTGAATTCCCAAATCCCGTCCCGATTGTGGATGACAAATGTGTCATCAACACACCGTACCCACAATCGTGATCGAAAGCGGTCAAAAGCTAGTGCCCCCAGTCACTGTAACACTGCCTCAGCAATTAAGCTGGATAACGGCGACCCGTTTGGCCCACCTTTAAATTGTTCGTACACAGCTCTATCTATGGTAAAGCATGTTTTCACGCAGCGTTTTAGGCGATCAACAATATGTTTTATCTTGTATTTTTTGTCCGTCTCGTTATGAGTTTACGGAGACGAGTTTGCGGTAGGACGAGCGCCTGCCACTGCGGGTGGTGAGAAGCTTAACCAAAAACACCTCTACCCAAGCCTGGTGCACAAGGGTAACGCGTCTCTTGCACTGCGAGTACGGGCTAGGACGCCAGAAGATTTGCGCAGGTAACCGGATTACGTGATTTAGCCGCTTACTCGCCATCCCTCTCCCGTCCTTTCATCAGGACTCACCTGATTGGATACTTGTGTTATCACGGTTGAACTGTCGGCGCTGTCTCCACGCCTAGTAAACACGCATTTTGTCAACTAGGCAATGAAGGGGAGGCCTCGAATCTGGATGATGCACGGTAGATGTGCTAACTCATGAAGTGTTAGCCGAAATTCTGAAGTGCGTTTTCGACTCTAAAAGACTACTCAAGTAGGGCTGTAGTAATCATCACCATACAGTATAATCCTATACCAATTCAGTTACATCAGGATAGTGGCTTTTGAACGAACTTCTTTCCTGAAGCCGGCAAAATATAAACTCTGCAAAAAAGGACTACATTTTTTCTCAATGACTTTCGATGCCTTTATAAACTCAAATATGTTTCAGAGAAGACATGCACAAAAATATTCAATCTTTTACTCATTTGGTCGATAATTACATCTTCAACTTTTATACTTGAAGGAGGGATATAATTCGGTTTAAAAAGTTTATAATTGCGGGATTTTTAGGGACCGTAAAAATTCCGTTCATAAAAACACCCTGTTTGTGCACCTACTGATGTTACTTATAAAGTTTACGATATAGCTTAAATCCACAGCCAACATTTATGAACCCCATATGGTCTCCCCTTGATAGCTTGTGTAAATGTAGGATTTCCCGTAGAATGAAAATATACAGCTTGTAGTTTTGAGACCCCACTCGACAGGTCGGCTTCAAAATTATTCGGGAATCGGGAAACTTTTTTAACACCGAATTATACCCTTACTTCAAGTATAAAATTTAAAAAAGATGTAATTGTCTACCGAATGAGTAAGAGAATGAATATTTATATGCATGGCTTCTATGAAATATACTTAAATTTACAGGCGCATCGAAAATTACTGGCACAAATCTTACACTACGCAAGTAGTCACTTTCTACAGAGATTGGTCATCGCAGGCGATGGAATAGAAGTTCGTTCTAAAGCCAGTATTCTGATGTAATTGAATTAGAATAGAATTATGCTGCACGGTGATGAATACTACAACCCTACTGGAGTAGACTTTCGAGTCGGAAACGCAATTCAGAATTTCGGCTAGCATTTTATGAGCTAACACTCCTACTGTCCTGTTTACGCCACTGGCAATCTTAGTTTCCTTTAGAACTTTGGTATGGTTTGGTCCTGCAGCCCCACTTGATTGATACCATATGGTCAGCTTACTAAAATAATTTTAGTTAACCCACCTAACTTAACAATTCGCTCGATAAGAAAGAGAGCACAACCAGTGCTCGGAGCGCGTGTGAACCGATGCTTGGTGTAACCGGAGGTGGCGTGTACACACTCTCCCCGCGTCACAGCCACTCGCTGGATTAAGAGGATAAGGAGCGTGTAATCACAACTGGAAGGCCACGGAGGGAACCGCGTGGTAATTTGCAGTGCATGGCCACTGTGATGGAACGGACGGGGTTCCAGTCCATCCGAACAATGCCAAAAGCAAGCCTACATGCCTAGCATACATACCACACGGATGGCTTCCTAAAACAGTTTAGGTTAACATACCAGTCTTAACCACTTGCTGGATGGGGAAAGAGAAGAGAGGGCAAGCAGAGCTCAAAGCACACACAGCGAAGCGTGTGTGCATCGATGCTTGGTGTAACCGAAGGCGGCGTTTACGCACGCTCCCCGCGACACAGCCACTCGCTGAATGAGGAGGGCGGAATCACGACTGGAAGGCCAATGGGAGACTGATGGAGTTCCAATCCTTCCGAAAAATGCCTACTTAGCCAATCTCTGGATTAAGATAACAGTGAGGACGCAAGCAGGGCTCGAAGCAGGCGCGAGGGTAGCGCGTGTGAACTGATACCTGATGCAACCGAGGCTGGCGTATAAGCACTCTTCCACCCCCTAGATACAGTTATTCGCTGGATTAGAGTAGTGAGGAAGGCGCCAACACGGGACATATGTAAAGTCAGTGTGATAGCACCTACCAAGATTGTTTTAGTATGCTAAACGAATAGTATCAATCAAGTGGGGTTGCAGGACCAAACCTCGCCTAGACTTTTTCGGCGCAGGAATGCTTCAAGGTCACCCTTATTCCTCTCACCTGAAAGTTCTCTAGTACCCTAACAAAATGGTTTTAATACAGTAGGTGGGCTAACTCATGAAATGTCAGCCGAACTTCCCAACTGCGTTTTCGTTCCGAAAAGAGTTGGAGAACTAATCATCAATCAGCATATCACAATTCAGCTATCTCAGGATGCCGGATTTCAAAAAAACTTCATTTTGGCTACATGCAAGAACTACGCTCTGTACGAAATGACTACTTCCGTAGCATGCACTTTTTCTCGCTGATTTTCGATTCCCTTAAAAAGTCAATTATAGTTCATGGAAAACCTGCAGAAAAAATTCATTTTTCTACTCATTCTGTGGGAAATTACGTCTTCTTTGGATTTTATAACCGAAGGAAGGGTTTAATTTGGTCGTAAAAAGTTTCTAACTGTAGGATTTTTTGATAACGTGAAATGGCCGTTCGCAAAACGTCATGTCTCTGCATTTACCAGTGTTGCATGCAAAGTTAACCATAAGGCTCAAATCCACTGCTGGATTTTATGAACCCCATATAATCTCCTCTAAATGCCGTAGAGAAATTAACGGTTTTCCGTACGCGGAAAATATACGGCTTGTAGTTCGGAGACCCTAAATGTAAGTGTAACGGCAGGTCGAGTTCAAAATTATTCGGGGACTATAAAAGTGTTTTAAAATCGAATTAAGCCCTTTCTTTGAGTATAAAGTGGAAAGAAGACGTAATTTTCTACCGAATGAGCACAAGAATGAATATTTTTATGCATGTTTTCCATGAAAAACAATTGACGTTTTAAAGGCATCGAAAATCAATGATAAAAATGCTTGCTTCATAAGTATTCATTTGTTGTAAAGTATGATTTTTGTATGCGGCATATAGGAAATTCATTCGAAAGTCAGCATCCTGAGGTAACTAAATTATTGTAGAATTATATTGCAGACCGATTAGTTTTACAACTCTACTTTTTTACTCTTTTCGAACCGAAAACACATTTCGGAATTTCGGTTGACACTTCATGAGTTAGCCCACCTACTGCATGCTAAACGAATAGTATCAATCAAGTGGGGCTGCAGGACCAAACCTCACCTAGACTTCTTCTGCGAAGGAATGCTCCAAGGTTACCCTTATCCGTTTCACCGCAAAGTTATCTAGTCCCCTAGAAGACTTGTTTTAATATTTGGCTAAGGGGTTTTCTTGGTCGTTCAGGTTAAGTCGCCCGTGCGAAGTAGGAAGCGCCCGGTTAGTCGTGATTACTTTTTCCGACGGGGCTCGCAAGCCTCGTGAGCCTCAGTTAACTTGCAACAACCGCTCTTTAGGCACAGTCATAGCTGTAAAGCGGCAAAAAGACTGTCTGCAGACGTCGGTGGATTTTGGGCTGGAAGAGGAGAGTACTTTAGCAAACGCTGCTACAAGCGTGTCTGCCCACCTTGCTGGAAGAGACGAAATGCAGAATTCAGGAGGCTACAGGCCGGGCTGAAATCGTCGCTGTCATTGCACTGCTCCAGGACAAGCCCACTGTATCTGACGAGACGGCGGAGCACATTTGCGGGAACCTCTTTGACGTTTTCTGTCTGTCGAGAGAAGAACAGTCCAGGAGATTATTCTGTGAAATATCCGCCTAACTCCACAATAACTGTTTAAGAGGCGGGTTAAACTAAAATATAATCAACTCCTCCCTCCCGCCCAAAATCAACCAACAGATCGCACTGTATACGGTAAACGTGGCACCGCCGCTTCAACGACATTGTTGAATGCTGTTTAAAATGCCTGGTAGGACGGGACCAGATGAACCAACCCCAAACAATGTCATCCCATATTAACTTGCACCCTAAAGCCTGTGAATCGCCAAAGTAGTGAGCCTTGTCAGTCAGACTGTACGTCACTGTGATTTTTTGCCATGCCAGAGGAACTAATTGGACATTGTGTTTCCGCATAAAGTTACCACGTCTTCTTTGTCTGTGGCTGAATGGCTACCAACACTCGGATAAGTAAGCTGAGCATATTTTCAACCAAACGTCAGCTGAACAATTATGCCCAAGGACTTGCTATCCAAAGGATTACTTCTGAGGTAACTAACCGAATATGCCTATCCAATTAATGTAAATAGCAACCATGCAGACATCAGCTCCAAGCGACATGGGTGGTTATATTTCTACCCCGTTACAAAACTGAACTGAGAAACCTTGTTTAAGGTGCTGTTTTGTCCCCACCGTCTAAGTCAAATCACTCAGCAACCGTTTCCTGAAGTCCAATAACTGACCGTCAGCTGCTCGGCTTCTGACTGCCGGTACACTGTAAAACGCATAAACCAGAAAGAAATTACTACTAGTTAATAGTAGCGTCATTATCTCGCCAGAACGACACACTTTAGTATTTAGAAACCGTAGAGAAATAAAAAGTCCGTACATACCTGTTTTTTAAGCTCCCTCGCAAACGCTGATCGTCCAGTATGATGCTGCACAATAATACAGCAAGTTAATAAGACAACAATAGAATAAGTAATATAAAAAATCTAATATTTTAAAATACCTCCTAAAATACGTAATCATTTCGAATAGACAATTGCAATAAAGAGGAATGACTTTCAACCGACAGGGTTTTCACTGCACCCCTTGAAGCAATGAATGATGAAAAGGTTTGTCCTCTCTTTCACAAAAACCATCAAAATTCGGATTCCTTTTTAAAGACCCTTTTTGCGCTAAGCATATGTACCTCAGGTGAAAACTGTCAAATTTCGCGCACTTACGGTGATGTATCCCTTAAATTTCTGTTCAGAAGCACTGTCCGGGTCAGTATTTTTGGGGCTAAAAGAAGAGAAATAATATTTCCATGAATAATGACTTACTCCCTTCTCCCCACTCTCTATTAAATTTTATGCTTAAATTTTGCGAAGCGGAGAATTCTATTCAGGCTGTTAAAGCTTTTGTCCCAGCGATCGTGTCTCCTTCCTCACAATTAATTTGTTTTCTCTTCTCCACAGACCAGTTACCAAGACTCCTAGTATCGAGGGCAGTGAGTCCGCACGCGCACAGACAGCGCGAAGGAAAAAAAGGGAAAAAAATTTGGCGCAGACTTGTTTACCTCTTCACCTGCCCAACAACCCACCAGAGGTTGGGACCTTCGTTAATGAACGGCTTCCTTTTTGCCTTACTCCCATGTCTTTCCCAGCAGGACGGTTTTCTGCAGTTCAGCTCAGCTTACTTAATGCCTTTCCCAGTGAGGAATAAAAAACATAGGAGGAAAATGAAATTAGTGGAAATCACGCGTTCATTGCAAATGTAACTTGTCGGGCTTTGAGAACTGACTCATTATGAATTTTGCACAGCAGAATATTTCCCAGACTTAATAAGAATTGTTTTTGACCACCGACGCATCCACAACAGACGAGGGACGAACTTTACTTCACTTATTTATTTGTTTTGATCATCAGAGAATTGTCCTCTCTCTCCTTGTGGGGGATTCCGCAGAAATCTCTACTTGTATACAAAAATAGCCCAGAGTACTTGCGAGGGGGTTTTCCTCAGAGAAGGAACGGACGATCTGTCAACTCTAGCCCATTCGAGAATTACTTCCCATTCTGTCTTGAGTCCTGCTTAACCGACTGATGACCACTCACGTGCCCTCCTGTCGAAACAGAATTTAACTGGCGATGTCATGGCTAACGAATCATGGCAACATCGCTTACCAATCCAATTGCGGGACATGTTTTTTCCGTTGCGCCCCGGAGCTCAATCAATAGCACCATTGGATAGTACCATAGCAACTAGGGGTCGGGATAGTCATGTTCAACTTAGTAACTGTCTTCAGTCAGGCATGCAGTACACAGCATTGGAGCAAGACATGTATGCAAAAGTGAGTAGCAATAAAAACAAGGAACTTTGACAGGTGTTGCGGTAACAAGATGCTGTACCGACTTGCATTTACGTTAAAGTAAGTTTACCTAAAAGATGTAATAAAATCGGGTCTTGTTATCCTCTTCGAGTGGCATCTTTTGAACCTTTTGAGACCGTAATATAAGAGAAAATAGGTGCAGGGATGCCTATCCCACAGCGAAGGGAAATCAAATCTGTATATGCACTCTCCTTTAGGCAGTATGTTTTTACCGACAAAGACAAGAGAGACTGGAATGGCCATTTCTGGCCTCTTAGCCCAGGTCAGTCAGTCATATCCAACCCCGAAGTGTGGAACACCCGAGGTTCGAACTCGCAACTTGTTAGTTAGAAGTCCACTCCTCTAACCACTGGGCCACGAGTCGGTTGCCCTGCGATTTCGATCGGGAATATACAATGGGTATAACCGGCTAACGACGGCTAATAAGCCAGAAACGGCCATTCCAGTCTGCCTTTGCTTTGTCAGTAATACCATACTGTCTATATCATGCGCCGCTGTGCGGCTGCTGGTTGGACTCGAGAGAGAGCCCTTAAGCAAAACGGAACGAGTGAATTCCGTAAGAACGATCGATAAGAGCCCCCCACCATTGTATTATCCTACAAAATGTTAACCGAAATTCTGGAATGTGTCGATGATTAGAAAAGATTACTTAAGTAGGGCCGTAGTACTAGCTGTCGCTCAGCATAATAACAAGTTATTTCAGTCATGACAGAGTGCCGGTTTTTGAAGGGGCGTCTTTTCGGCCGCCTGCAACATCTATAGTCCGTGAAAACGGTTACTTATGTAGTATGAATTTTTCTCATTGATCTTTGATGCTCTTGCATATTCAAACATACTCTATAAAAACATGTAAAAAAATTTTTTCCTGTCCTCAGTTGGTGGCAACCTGCATCCCCTTCAAATCTTGTATTTGAAAAAAGCATATCTTTTGGTTTAGAAAAACCTCATTAATTTCCAAATAATTTGGAATCTGATCCACCGTTGCACTTGTATATAGGGGTTCCAAATTACAGGCTGTATATCTCCCCTTCATGGAGAATCACACATTTATATGTATAGGCTCGTAATATATTGCAGGGTTGTATACGTTACAAACAACAATCACAAATGGATGGATACGATGCTTTATCGGCAGACATTTCACTGCTTTAAAAAATCCAGTAACTAGACACTTTGAAAAGCGAAAAAATGACCCGCCTTCAGGCATGAGTGTGCCGAAAACTTAATTTTCTACCACCTAAACACAAGAAAAAACGTTTGTCGCATGTTTTCTATAAAATATATTTGAATGTATAATGACATCGGGAATAAGGGGAATAAATTCATATTAATTGATTAGTCATTTTGTACAATATTTGGCTTTTGCAAGCGGCCAAAAATATGCCCGTTAAAAGCCGATATCCTGACGCGACTGCAACATCTTGTTGTTATGCTACCTGACAATTAGTCTTACGATCTTATTCAGGTAATATTACCTGATCCAAGGCACATTTCATAATTTTGGTTAGCATTTCATGAGATAGCACATTAACTTTACACTGATTACTCTTCTTTATTTTATCATTTATCTGTTGTCTGCAGTCGAGACGTTTACCGTACACGCAGGGGAAGCAGTCTACTGGTAAATAAGTGAGACTGCCAGACGGACAGTCGGTTTTGGCGTTATGAATTTAGAGATGCCTTTTACTTTAGGCTTGGAGTAGAAAGCCAAGTGATTTGGCAAGCGCACGTTCTGCAGACTTCGAAAGTCAGTTTAACACATCTGCAAGCCTATGCTTTATCCTTCTCGGGTTTTCCGTCCTTGTTACCCCGTCAAGAGGTGGCAATGTTGTTTTCTTGGAATAGGCCTACGCCTGCAAGCCTACCTCGGCTTCTTGTCACTACAGAGGTCAGAGGCAAGAGCCAGTGCAGGCGGCTGTCGGGTAGGCTGAGTTTCAAATGCGTGTGCTATGCCAGTATCAGCAAACCATGGCCCTCGCAGCCTGGTACGCGCTGGAAGTTCCCTGACACCTGGTTCCCTGCCGGTAGCTTCGTTTGCGCTCCCGCTGGGTATACAGACGGTGGGCACGGCTGCTCAGTTATCATCCTCGTTCTTTTGGTCCCTGTTGTTGTTGCTGCTGGTGAAAAATCTTGACCAAATGTATATTGTTGACCAGGGGGTGTGGAGTGGAATGCCAAGGTGTGGACTCGATCGTGTCATCCACCTGCGCCCTCCCTCGCCTCCGGTCTTCTCGACTCTGTCTTGACACCGGGCCAGGTGGGGATGGAGACAGTACGGTAGATGCTGCACAAGTCTACATTCCCTGTAAGCTAATTCACTCGCAAGTCACCGTGGCTGCTGCACCTTTCTGTATAACACACGGTGGACCTCGTCGGAATCGACGGTTGAACTGTCGAGATGCAAAAAATCCCCGTCCAGTGTATGTCACACACACCCGCGTGGCTTCATTTTTAATCCAATGCAACGTTGTGGCCCGATGTCCAGTACCCTAACTTCAACCCCATAGAACTAACCCCAACCCTTCTGGCCTTAATTCTAACCGTAACCCTAAGCACAACCCCTACACTAACCCCGACCCGCTGAAATTAGGGGTAAGCTCACCTGTAATACGGTGAGGCCGAATTCGCCTGCCCAGCCTGCAGTTCTAACCAATACGTGCTTGGTCCAGCGGAGTTGGCAATCGTATGCATCGCCCTCTTTACAGAAACTGTTGTTCCCGAATGCAACTGCCCTCTTTTTCTTCGTGGCAGTTCCTCTCCACAGTTGCAGATACCTGGGAGTTTTGTAAGATCACGTAGGAATAAATGCGATCGTTTCGGCGATGTCTGCGAAAATGATTCCAGTAGGTGGACGCAACGGTCGGGGTGGCGAATCTCATCTGACATCAAATACTGTCATTTTCAATGGCTCTCAGCCCACTTGACATACACTACAAGGTCAAGCACGATATCCTGAAGGAATTGATGGCTCACTGAGAGTCCCTTCTTGAGCCTACAGACAGAAGTGTTACCTGCAGTGTCAGGAACTTACTGCAGGACCGCTTCCGAAGGCGATCCAACTCAGTAAACAGGCCTTACACGCGAGATTAACGTGGCAATGTTGGCAACGGAGAGCTTCGCCGGGGTGCTGCCTGACCCACTTTTGCGAATACCGCTCAACGAATGCGCTCCTATCCAGCCCCAAGTTTCGATGCGAGGCACTCTAACTTTTGGACTGGCTAAGTGACTTCTTCTGCACCTCATCTGTTGAAAATGTTGAGAACAAGTTCCCTCCTGGAAACAACGCAGAAGTGACTTGCACGTGAGTGTGTTTTTGGAGAGGCAGACTTTCAGTGTACCTTCCCTCACTTTCCCCTCCTGCACCCACCAAAATCAGTCATCAGGAACAGACGCGGACTACCAGAAACGGCGGGGAGTAGGCGCAGTAGGGGGTTTTACTTGCGACATTGTCCCAATGTGTCTCGCGTCACACGGAAACGGGTCTGCCATGAAAACCACAACAAGGCGCCATTACAGTATGGTCTCCTATGTCGGCTGTTGGCGTGTTGTTTAGTTTTTAGGAGCCTTTGGTTGGTTAGTTTCAGAGAGGATGCGCTTAAATGTGAGATGGATGAAGATCACCCTAGCTTTCTCTCATCAACCTCTACCAGAGTCGTACTGGCTTTAGATGAGATTAGATGCGGTGACTAGTGGGGCCTGAGTTGCCGCCAGACGAAAGTACATATTTAATAACTAAGGAGTGAAATGGACTTAGCGCAGTCCGACAATACCATCAGTGATATCGGTGTGCGTATTGCAATGGAGACTATCGGGCTACTGTAAACGAGATGAAACGGAAAATCGTTAGGCCACGGCCGTCTCCCACGTACAGGCCCAGGCCGGTCAGTTAACATGTTCGGAGAATGCACCCATCGTATGTTCCTATCCAGTCAACTTTACAACGGTCACTGAAATGTCACCCACCTTTAATTACAAACCTGTCACATTCCACGTTCCGTTACATTTGGACCACACCTGTCATATGCGTTCGCACTAAAGCCACCCCGGAGCCCATACATAAACCACACTGTGCAGTCCGTTGTCGTTGTGAATATCAAATGAGCAATTTTTTAGGCGGGCGTGCAAGGTTGACCATCTAATAGCCATCAAATTCATACCGTTTGTCATCTTTAGGCTAAGACCGGCCACAGAGAAGAAAAAGAATAGCATCGGCACTTGGTTATTCTTCATAATTACAAATCATGACGTCACTCTCATAGATTTGTCCTTTATCATCCATGTAGAAACACATCTGATGCCGTGGTTCTGTGGGCTGAAATCTGGTTAAACAACTCAAAGGCACATAAAGTCAAAATTGGGGTTTTAGCGGCCCCGTCTTGATGTGAGCCCTGTGACACTGTTGTCATGTGCGGTGAAGAGCACGTGGGAAAGAGCCGGTCAATGTGTGGCTCACGTAGAGGCGCTGCAGTTATGACTTAGAGTAGGTGAGCTAACTCATGAAATATCAACTGAAATTCCGAAGTGCGTTTTCGTTTCGAAGGGATTACTTAAGAAGCCTTGTAAGACTAGTCAGCCTGCAACATAATTCTATAATATTTCAGTAACCTCAGGATGCCGGCTTTCGAATGAACATCCGGCCGGCTGCATGCAACACTGTAAAAAATGTCCACTTTTGTAGCATGTCTTTTTCTCATTAATTTTCGATGCCCCTAAAAGTCTAATTATATTCTAAAGAAAAAGGAAGGTTTAAGTAAGAGGCCCAAGGCACAACAGAACGAGCATGTTCTGTACCCTGATCGGTGAGCGCCCATCTGTCATAATTGATATTCCCGATCACAACCGACAGGACAACGGGCCCGTGGCTCAATGGTAGAGCGTTCAACTCCATGACCGAAGATCCCGGGTTCGAATCTCAAGTGATCCACACTTGGGGTTGGGTATAACTGGCTGATGACGGCTAAGAAGCCAGAAATGGCCATTCCGGTCTCCCTTGTCTTTGTCGGTATCACCTTATCAACATATATCACTAGTCGCTGTGCGACTGCCTGCGAGGGTTTAAGTATGAGCCCCAAGGCACAACAGAACGAGCATGTTCTGTAACCTGATAGGTGAGCGCCCATCTGTCATAATGTATAAAAATGTTTAGTATTTTGCTCATTCAGTAGACAATTGCGTTTTTTTCAATTTTATTCTCGAAGGAGGGGTATAATTTGGCTTTAAGAGTTTCTACTTGCGAGATTTTTTATTACCGTGAAATGGCCGTTCATAAAACGCGATGTCTCTGCAGTTACCAATGTGGCTCGTAAAGTTAACATGACTGAAATCCACTGCTAAATTATATGAACACCCTATAGTTTCCTCTTAATTTTGTAGAGGATCGTAGGATTTTCTCTACGTGAAACATATACGGCTAGTAGTTTGTAAACCCTCAATGCAAGTGTAACAGCATGTCGGGGTGCAAAAGTATTCGGGAAATGTAATAATTTTTGAGAACCAAATTATATCATTTCGTAGAGTGTAAAATTAGAAGAAGACGTAATTGTCTACCGAATGAACAAAATAATGATTGTTTAACTGCAGGCTTTCCAAGAAATATAATTGAATATTTAGGACCATTGAAAATCAACGAGAAAAATGTTTGCTACTTAAGTAGTTATGTTTTAAAGAGTGTGGTTTTTGCATGCAGCCGGAAAGAAGTTCTTTCGAAAGCCGGCATTCTGAAGTAAATTAATCACTATAGAATTTTGCTGCAGGACGAATATTTTTACGACTTTTCTTGATCAGTCTTTTCAAAACGAAAACGCTGTGTGTGTTTTACATCGTGTTCTTCTTAGGGATTTTTTATCGACTGCTTCCCATTTTCCCTTTAAGTGCACTAACTTCAGCACTACCATAAGCATCTGTTACACGGTAGGATTTTTTGAGTTTAAGAAATTATCCGTATTCTTTGATCTTCTTGCTCACACCCACCCCCAAAACAGGCATGAGGTGGTCTATTTCCTAAATATAAAGGTAAAAAACAGAAACTGCACAAAAAATCCGGCGCAATCCCATGGTAACTTTGAAAGTTCGTTGAGATACTAAGGGACCATACAAAGACAGTTATTTTTCCACCATTACCGGGCGTCAGTCCGTCACAGGTTTATCTTTTACCTTCTCAAAAGAGTTATATAAACTTTTCAAAGGAGTAGGCGCTTGACATCCACTTGTTGCGTTGGAATCTCGTCCGATCTCATTCTGCCGGTCAACTCATCCCTTGTTTGAAAGGCATTTGCCGATCAGACTACGGAATGTGCCGTTGAGGACGGCCAAAAATGACAGCTTTTTCTTTGCCGGTACTCACTTCCTCACCCAACCTTTGATTTGAATCCGCTTCCCACAAGACAAGGGACACTGTTTCACAGGGTTTACAAACTCGGTGCCTGTTTTTGACACCGCACATACAAACGCAACTTACTTAATAATATTTCCCACAAAGTTCCCGATATCTGCCAGATAACATTTGGCCTCGTTCTCCGGCAAACTATCAATGCTCTCCGCCGAGAGCCTTCGCTCGTTGGGCGCCTCATCCGCGTACATGGGCTGGTCTCCGTCGTCGCCATACTCGCTGGCGGAACTGTCATCTCCGTCCGCGCCGCCGTCTCCACGCGACTGGCCGCCCCTTTTGCTGCCGCCGCCGCCGCCGCCGCCGCCGAAACCCGTCTCCATCTTGATGGAGTTCAGTTTGCTCGACAGGTCCGACATCAGGCCCTCCTTCTTGGCTTGTACCGAGTTGAAGAAGTTGCTAGTGCCTGCAAAGAATGCTGAGGCCGTGTTGCTACTGCCTGTTTCGGTGCCTGCCGAGGCGTTCTCTCCGCGGGGGCCGGCGACGCTTTGGTCCACCTCCTTGCCTCCAAAACCCCTGAAGAGGTTTGTGAAGGCCATTGAATTCAGTTGGGGAAAGTAGGGATGTCACGAGGCTGAAAATAAAAGGAGATGCAAATAAGGCGTAGTTTTGTTTCCGTCGTTCTCAAAAACCCAAGGTCACTCAGGTTTACGCCTCTGGACACTCCGTCCCGTCGAAGTCTAGATCTAACTCCTACGCACGTATAAGTGCAGCTGACACCACATGCTCGTGAACGCGTTTGGCATGACTTAGCATCATAAACACACACCAGTGGTCCCTGTCGCCAGAGACAGCCATTCCGGCCGAGATTGAGCCCCAAGACACAAACGGGACGAGGAAGTTCCCCAACGCGATTGGTGAGTGCCCGGTCGCAACCGACAGGACACGAACTCGTGGCTCGGCAAATAAGACGTTGGGCTTCTAACCAGCACGTCGCACGATCGATTCCCAGATGCTGCCCACCTCGGGGTTAGGCGTGACCGACTAGTGACACCCAATAAGCTAGAAACGCCCATTTCCGTCTCCATTGTTTTTGTTAGTAATGCAGCCCTGCCAGTGTACATGATAAAGATATTAAAGCGTACTCCTGACATCAGTTCTAGCCAAAAGACCAGACAGGTGTTTCACTTATAGTTCTCTAGTTGCATAACGCAGCGGTAGTCGACTGTCCGAGTCGGTCAGTCACCTGATGAGCGAAATTCATCATCATATTCTTATGAGTGATGAGTCATCTGGAAGCAGTTTTGGGGCGGCGTGACCCTGCGCCTTGGCGTGCTATCACACCCTATTTACGGCAATTGTTATGGTTGCGCGGTCCAGTAACGCGTGTCTTACCCTGTTCGACATAACTTCCACATGGTCCATTTTAGGGGAACGGCTGGACAAACACACAGTAGTAACATATAATGCAAAATGTATGAAAATAATTCGTAGTGTGTGGGCAATGTATCGGAATGCCACGACTATGGTAGTTGTCTCATGCCAGCATAGTTTTGATCGGCTAAATATCTTGAAGAAACCGGCAGGATATACTATGAAAGCGTTTGTGAAAAAGAATCAGGATGCTTAATCTGATAGCCCCCGTATTGGTTGCGGGAGATACAGTCAAAGACCGATCTCACGAAATGTTAACCAAAATTGTGAAGTGCATATTTGTTTGCGAAGGAATCCTGAAATAAAGTTGTAATATTGATTATCTTACGACGTAATTCCGTGATATTTCAAGCGCGCCAGGATGTTGACATTTGAACATACTTTTGTGGCCGCGCGCAATGACTTCACTCGGTAAAAAAATGACGATTTAAGTAGTAGGCATTTTTTCCATTGATTCTCGATGCCCTTATAAATACAAATGTATTTTGTAGGATATATGTACAAATTTGTTCTGTCTTGTACTAATTTGATAGCAAACTATGACTTTTTTACGTTTACAGTCGAATAAAAGATATTTATCGGTTCCAAAAAAGGTTTACAATTGTAAGATTTTTGAGATTATGCGATGTCCATTCAAATAGCATCGTCTCTATCTGGTCAATAACGCTTCTCATAAAGTACACAACATGGTCCAGTTCTATTTAAAAAAATATGATAAATTGTGCATGGCATCTCCTTGATGAAGTAGAAAAACAAATTTTCTTCATTACGCGGGAATTGTACGGCTAGTAGAGTAAAAACTCCCAAAGGCAGATGGAAATGCAAATCGAACTCAAAATCATTCTGGGGGTGGGGGACGTTTTAGAGACGTAAGATGCCCTTTTTCGAAAACGAAATTGGAATAAGCTGTCATCTGCTACAAACGGAGTACGAGCAGGAGTACTTTTATGCATGGTCTTGACAACATACTTTTTGAATCTATAGAGAAATTTAAAATCGATATTGAAAGTCCATACTAATTAAATAGTCATTTTTATCGATTGGGGTTTTCGCAGACGGCTGAAAAGGCGCAAGATAATGGATACTGCGACCGCACTTAAGCTATCCTTTTAAATCGAATTTAGATTTCACACTTTTGGTCACCGACCGTATGTCCGTCGCGTCTCCGCCACAAAACAGACTTTCTGAAAGGTAATTTCCCTATTTTCACGATACCCAATGTTTATTAAGTGTGAGGCGTCAGAGCATCATACCGCATTGGTAGCTCGTTTCATAAGACCAATTAAGTTTCTGCTATGAGTAGAGGAGGTCGAAGACGGCGGAGGTGGTTAAGTCGGCCAAATTTCTTTGCCTTTCAAGCACGGAACATAGTTTTCAAGAATGGTGTCCGTTTCTAAGTCGGAGCAAAACCATGACGTGTTATAGGGATTAACCGTCACTCGATTAATGCGTCAAATGTGTTGTGGAAAGATGGTTTTACAGAAGAGTTAACAATCTGCCGTTGTCTGCCAAATGTTGACGTTTTCCCGCACAGGCCAAACATTAAATGCTTCCGAGTAACCTTCTTTCCCTGACATGTTTCGAATTTTTTGCTCTTTTTCTAATGCCATTGTGCAATTTGGTTATGTCTGTGCAGATGCAAAATTTTAACATACCTGTAAGACCTGCACAATGTTTGCAGAAAACAGGTCTGTTAAAACACTTATGGAAGCCGTCCATGGAATTCTTTTGATCCATGCAAAATAGTCAATATACTCTACAAATAAACATTTTCACTTGTTACTCAAGTAACCGATATTAACTGTGACTTTCCCCCAAAACGGAACAAGCGGTAGATGCGCTAGACCAGCACGGGAACTAGAAGGAGTCTGGTGAATTTATCTGTAATAAGCAGCCATACGAAATCCCAAACATTCGGGATACCGTGGCAGGTCTATTTGCAGGCTCACGTCACGCCAGTTGGGATCCGCGCCGTCCCCAATTTGTGTTCTTGTGTAAAATTCTGGTCAAGTGTTTGTTCTGAACCAGGGAGTGCGGTGGTACGCTTAGGTGCGGGTTTTCGCCGTGTAAGTCACCTGTGTCCCTTCCGCCTCCGATCTTCTTGATCTTCTGTGTTTTGTCGTGGTTGATGCATGACCACCGTTTTGTTTCTGGAAACGAGGGGAGGATATCCAGGTCGACGCTGATCTCCACTTGCGGGCGTAGATAAATGGCGGCTTTGGGAATTGTGAAAGGACTGTTGAGGACGCTTCCAAAGTGGTCGACTTAATATCCCAGCATCTGCGACTTCTTCGCCAGACGCGTGGATCCATGAAGGATGAGAAGCAGCGCGCCTCTTTGAGCGGTCGTAGATTGTCTCGAGCGCAGCGAAGAAGTTCTTCGTTTTTATTGCGGTTGACATATCCCCTGAATCTCCTCGGCATTTCGAGCCATCTAGGCGTCATGCATTTTACGCAATCGCTGCTGCACAGGGCGGCGACACTGTTAGGAGGCCGCTTTGTTTACATCGGACGGGCGGTCGATGCAGGTTCTATGCAGCCGTTCTCTTCGGTGAGCAGGTTGTTGATATCTGCACGTTTTCGTCGAAACGGCTTTGATGCTGACGACGTTCGCGACTGTGGACACCCAGAGCGGCCGAATGGACAGCGTCCCGTAGTTGACATCCCGAGGCTCTGCGGTGGTGATGACGTTCGGGTCTGACAATTCTTCAAGGAAATCCACACAAACCCCCAGGGACACTACTCCTCGGATAATGTAGCACACATCAAAAGGACAGCATTTGAGCTTGCCCTACAAGCATGTTAAAAGCGGCTGGCACTACTTCTCTCTCCCTCTCTCTTTCCCTCCCTTTCGGACATGAATTACGACAATTCGACCGCCGTGACCGATGGAGTCCAACGGATGCTCCACAGAGAGCAGAGACGGTGACTTGAGTGTGAATTGCTTTAAGGGTATGGTATACTTTCGCAGCATCTACCGCACTCTCTCCCCCCACACCCCAACCACCGCCTGAGTCCGAGGACAAGACAGAGTCGAAATGACTGGAGGCGAGTCAGGCGGTAGGTGGCTGACGCGACGAAAACCCCCGCCTAGGCTTATCGTCACATCCCCTAGTCCAAAACGGACACTGACCAGGAAAAAGGGGGGTGGGAGCGACGGGGATCCCAAATGGCGTTGCGTGAGCCTGCTACCTCATCCCCAGCATTTGTGATGGATGCGCATTGCCGGTAAGGCCTACCGGTCTACGATCTAGCCACCTATTGGTCTAGTACACCTGCTGCGTGGCCCGTTTTGGGGGTAGAAAACAGCATATTATCACGTAGGCTACCGAACAATTAGCGACCAATAAGAATTCTCTGGGACACAGGTGAATGAGTGAACTCACGTCTCCAGCCGGCACGAATGTCTCAGGAGACTTTCCGCTTGCAAGGACACACCCATGAATGGTAAAGACCTGGATAGTCGTGCACATATCGTAAAAGGCCTTTTTCTCGTGCAGAAGGAATTTATCTCTTTATTGTATAGTATTATGGATATTTCCCTCGCTAAGAACAGTCCGCAAACGACATATGTACAATAATATGCGTTTTGCTATTTGAGGACATAAATCTATACCGAGAGCATGTATCGAAACAACCCTTACCTACAAGAAACTCGGTTTTTTATTTAAAAAAATAAGGTGGGGAAATATATTCACAAACACGTCATTTTCAGATGGAAAAAGAACGTTTTATCAGTTAAAAGTGCTGATTTATAAACGTGTTTAATTTTATGCTTTAGGACGTAATAATTGAGTTAAAGCGCAAATTTTTGTTCTAATACACCTTTTAACTCCAGTCACATGCCCATATTCCACCAATAACCGCGAAAATGTCCATCATTAAACGGCCCTTTTAACTTATGAGCGTAAGGCAATGTACTTTCTGTGCCAACTAGCTTCGACTAGTGCACAGCATATGCTCACTGAGCGATATGTTGTGGATCCTTATTCGACTAGTTCGTCTACACATATGGACGAACCGTAGTTTACGAAAGCGGATGCCTATGAAATGTAAACTGAAATTCTGGAATTTGCTTTCAGATAGAAAGGACTACTTGGATAAGGTTTTGACATTGACTAACGTGCAGCGTAGTCGCTGGATATTTCAGTCACATCAGGAAGCCA